TATTATATATATATATATATATATATATATATATATATATATATCCACCATTTTTACATATTTATATTTTTTTATATTTCTTAAAATTTTTTTATAGGAACAAAAATTTCGTGAATTCTATTTTTAATTATATGCTAAATAAAACTATAAAGTAAATGTTTCATTAACATGACATTAATTAGTGATGGATTACTTATATCTTATATACGAGCAAATTAAATCTATTAATTTATCCTATGCCACTGATTAATATTAATTAATGTAATTAATAAAGAAAAAGAAAGAAGGAAATATAGGTATAAAACTAAACTTTTATTTTTTCGTTTTTTAAAATTCAGTTGTCTCAGTGTTTTTTCTTTTTATTTATTTATTTTTTTTTTTTTTAGGGCAAAAACATTTGCTGGTAATGAAGAAATGAAACAAGCTAATCGAATAATTGTCAAAAAAGAAAAAAGTGACATAGCATCGCATTCAACATTTGCATGGACAAATGAAACAATTGATGTACCGCCCGTTCCTCCGAGGTTATCGCGGTGTAAAATTATACAAAATACTTATATGATTGAATTGGATGTATGTTATATATTCATTAACAATTTTAAAAAAAAATGTCCCAATTTCAAATTCTTTTTATTTATACAAATGATAGTTTGAAATTCTTTTGAAATGACTTTAAAAAAATAAGGTGAGGCGAAGAAATAAGGTGGATGAAGAAATATGATGGAAGCAGGTAATATTCCATCAATACATTTAAATCAATAGATCAAAATTACATTTTCTGATTTATTTTTTAATCTAAATTATTATAAATTGAACAAATAGATGAAATATAAATGTTTTGCAACGCATTCATTTGATTGTATATTTCTTGAAATTTACTAAATTTTTCAATTAGATTTTAGGTTGATGGCAATATAGCAACGGTAATACCAATACAGATAGGTACAATACCATGTTTGAAAACTTTATTTCAACGAAATTTAAATGGAAAGGAAAAAAATGATGATGAAAATAGTCGATTAAACGGTGATATTAAAATAAATGAATCCATGTCAACGACGCCAAGTAATAAGGTTAAAATACAGGTTCAATTTAATTTATCGTATAATAGCGATTTCACTTACCTTTATACCTGCTGGAGAAAAATAGTACTACTTATTTTAACAAATTTTTCAATCATTCACAAAGCTGGAAATCAATAAATTTTTATTCATAACAATTCATGTTGCAATTTTTTTATATTACATAATTGAACAAGAATTTCAGCATTTCCTAAAAATTAGTCATAATCTTTTGTTAATAATAATTAATAAAGTAATAAAAAAAATAATAATAGTGATAACGACAATAATAATAATAATAATAATAATAATAATAATAATAATAATAATAATAATAATAATAATAATAATAATAATAATAATAATAATTAATAATAATAATAATAATAATAATAATAATAATAATA